CCCGGGCGCTCGTTGCTCTTCGTTCTCGCTGTCATATTCATCGAGGGCAAATTGGTTATCATCTTGCGGTTTCGATTCAATAGAAATGTCAATTCTCTAGTTGGGTGGTCAGTGTGCTGTCTCTGACATAAATCCAGATATGCAACACACCTGCTTTTTTCGAGGTCTCTCTGTATGTTCAGCAGTAGACCTTTGCTTCTCCTCTTCCAACTTGGTCTTTGCCAGACGCGCTTCAAAGTATTTTCTCTTTTCTGAAATAGCACGACTGGATTCGCGTTTCGCAAACTCCAGCATCCATTCCGGTTCACCATCATCACCTGGAAGCCCAATAAGCACTTGCAATGCAGCAATTTCTAAGCGATGTATTCTCACACGTGGTGTTATCCACTGTTTCTTGAAATTCCTTGCGCTTGTGGTCTCGTAGCCAAGTCAACGCGCCGCATATCAAACTAAGGGATTTTCCCTGGGAGGTTTAGCCTTTTCTTTTTTTCTTTTTTTTTTTTTCGCCTTCCTTCTCCTTTGGAATGCACAAAACTTACAGTGCCTATTACCAATTACGTCAGAGAGAACTAATGCAAGAACGTTGGGCAATCATGCTAGGCTTACCCGTAGGGGATTCAAAAATGGCTACCTTGCCTTCCTCCAGAGACGAATAGAGAGACCGCATAAATTGTAATTGGATCTCATAGGGCGTGTATGGATGATGGAAATCCTCCGGTTGGAGAGCCATAATGCCGGAAATGATATCCTTAGCTCTTGTTCCTCCCGTGTTATCTATGCATAGGAATGAATCTTTCTTAGCGTTATTGCCCTATAGACCCGATCATGCCCATCGCCCGACGGCGATTTTTTACCGGCGTAAATCCACGAAATTTGAATGGCGGAACAAACCTACCCCAAAGCCTGGAATTCCTAGTCAGTTGCACAACGACCCATATTTACGAATCTGTTCCCGTGCATAGGAATGGACATCGGTGGACGGGAGGAATGCCTATCAAAGTAACCCCGTTGTTAGCATAGTCTATCAGAATGCTCCGTGCTACTAGTCAGTGCTCCGTGAACATGAACCTATACGAGTACGAAGCACCGGAGGAACTGCTGATCGTCATAGCCCATAGGATTCTGGAAATGTTCTAAGGTAAGACGGCAAGGCGCGATCGGGATACTCACTTGGGCCCTGATTCAGACCGATTGGACAAGTATCTATTCTAAGTCAACTGGAGTACTTGATCTCCCTTTTGTGCCTGGTTTACGATTCAGAGAAGGCGGAAGAGATAAGACAGGTGTTTCTAGGCGGTGTGATAATACCACTGTACCCATACTGTAACGACCCCTGACAAGAATTAATTACCACCAGGGCCCGGTTAGGCTCCGTTTTAAGAGGGTCCATTGTCTATAATTCACATAATTCCACAGGCTTCTTTTTTATTATTATCATCGCCTCCGTCCAGGCGCCAAAAAACCAACAGTGGACATACCATAGTAGTACGGAGTAGAGTTCTTAATTGTACTAATAGGGTATTTGTATGTATTCTCCTGAAATGCATGAGATGTTTCTCTTTAAGCCGCTTCCTGCAAACCCCGCGCTGCGCTTGCATCGATACTCTTGTACATACTCTTATTTACTACTACTAAGCGCTCTGGATGTTTGTTATTTCTATGATTATGAGTGTGACTGAAAAGATTGCGATTTCCCTCTGCTAATTTCTATCACTTTTTATGGTGTGGAATAGTTTCTCCAAAAAGAGCATGTGATCTGGGTGGTCCTTTTTTACTATCCTTGAGTTATTATCGCGCAAGATTCTTTCCTACCTTTTTTTTCTGGTGGAGGATCGATTTATCACCGTCCTGGGCTGTTCAATTGCCATAGTTCCATTTCTTTCCTTCCTAGCAGGTTCCTTTCTCACAATTGACTTTCAATCCCTTTGGTACTTTTTCCTTATTAGATTCCCCCCGGGCTCCTCCTGCCGAACCATCAGCTATTGGGAACCGAAGAGCCCCCAATAATCAAGACAGCACCGGACTTAAAAGAGCGGAAAGGAAACCGTGCACGAATTATTCGCTGGGAATTAGTCCAGAAAAAAAACAACAACAACGACGACGACGACAACAACGGAAAGAAGCAAAAGAACAAGCAATAAACCGTCCACGCGAACAGCGATTTGCTGCCTACAATGATGAACAGACCGCCGCAAGGTCGTGGTCAACCACGGCTTGGTGCTACATGGTATCCAGGGGGTCAGGATGACTTTTACATGCCGGAAGTCATATCCCCCTCCCCACAAAGGTACGTCGTGATTTTTGGTTGTGACTGATCACTTTAATGATTTGCCTTCATGGAGCGGCTTATCTTAAGGTGGTGTGGATGTTGCTAACCTTCTCCTCTTGGATCTCTTTCTAGGGTCATGCCTGAAGTGCCTCAGACCATGCAACACAGCATCGCCCATCTCGAACACGAAGCGCGCAACCCGCACCGCAGTCAGTACGGTCAAGTACAATACGACCGGGCGCAGTATCCTCAGCGGACTTCTTCCGCCGCGGCCGTCGTCCACGGACCTCAGTCATCTTCAGGTTACGATGCTGGTGCCTATGAACAGTCTGTTGTCTATGACACCATGGACCAGCCCAATTTTTCCCCGTTCCCCGTTCTGCGCAACCCGCCGCCAAATGTCCCTCCCACAGACGAGCAGAGAGAGGCCAGTCTAGAGACTGCTAGGATGGCTGTTCTGTCTTCGAACGACCCGGAGATGCAGTTGGCCTGGGCACAGGACTCGCTGGCGTATGTTGAGGCTGCAACGCAGAATGAAGCCCGTCTGGCGCTAGTTCAACCTCCACGACCCCAGACTCCACCGGTGGAGCATCAGCTCAAGAACGATGCGATGAACATTGTGCGGTTCTTGGCGGACCAGTTCCACCCCAAGGCTGATTTTATCCGAGGCATGTGGCGTGAATTTGGCAAGTTTGGCTTTGCTGTGGACAAAAAAGAGGCATTCCGCGCCTACTCACGAGCAGCAGAGAAGGGTTACGCCAGGGCCGAGTATAGGATTGGGATGCAATTTGAAAGTGCAGGCGAACCTGAAAAGGCTATTCGGCATTACAGAAAAGGTGTCAATCTGGGTGATTCTGCTTCATACTACGTATGCGCCCCGTACTCGACGGTATTTCGAAACCGATGATTGCTAACTCATTGTCTGAACAGCGCCTTGGTATGATGATGCTTCTTGGTCAGCATGGCCAACCACAAGACTACCAGATGGGCCTGGAATACATTCACTATGCTGCGGAGTCCTGTGACGAGAACGCCCCTCAGGGAGCCTATGTGCGTAACCTTTGCATCTTGTCTCCGTTCCGAATTTTAGACTGACCATGTTTATGTATAGGTTTATGGTATGCTTTTGGCGCGAGAATTGAACCAAGTGAGCGTTCCTGAGCAGTTCCTTCCTCTCGATCTTAATGCTTCTCGTGTCAATATTGAAAAGGCCGCATATCACGGATTCGCCAAAGCCCAAGTGAAGATTGGCGCCGCGTACGAGCTGTGTCAGCTCGGTTGTGACTTCAATCCTGCATTATCCTTGCATTATAATGCCCTGGCTGCCCGTCAAGGTGAACCCGAAGCGGAGATGGCAATCAGCAAGTGGTTCCTTTGCGGACACGAGGGAGTATTCGAAAAGAATGACGAGTTGGCTTTCCAGTACGCCCAACGCGCCGCCCAGAGCGGTTTCCCTACTGCCGAATTCGCATTGGGATATTTTTACGAAGTTGGAATTTTTGTACCTGTGGACATTAAGGAGGCCAGAAGCTGGTACTCTAAAGCCGCAGCAAGTGGAAACAAAGACGCGACAAACCGGATCGATAGTATTTCTCGGTCCAAGACGTTGTCCAAGAAGGATCACGAAAAGGTCGCTATCGCAAGGATTAAATCCCGGTACGGATCTCAGCGACCCGGCAATCTAGGGTCAACACCAGAAAACATCGAAATGCCTGATCCCTCGATAATGAGTCTTTCTGACAACAACCCTGCTCCATCTGCGGCACCTTACCCCGACAGGCCAAGCTCCAGGGCTCGGCCTCCCTATGGAGTCGCGATGCCGGATCCCCGGCCAAGCTCTGCATTCACGATCAACCCCAACATTCGCGCCAATGCGCCCCCTTACAACCGAGCTGCATCCTATGGAGCAGGGCCTATGGGCCAACGTCATCCAAGTGGCACCAAAACACCAACCACCACCACCGCTCCCACGAGCCCATCGAGTATGCGCAGCCCTTCTGCCGCGCCTAAACTCGACGTCGGCTATTCGGCGCCTTTGGAATCCCCGGGGGCTGACCCTCGCCGCCGGCCTCCGCGTCTTGATGGGGGTCCTGACCGGAAGCCTGCAAGAACCCCTGTTTCTCCTCCCTCGCAGGGCTCCGTGGCTTCCCCTCGACCAGCTGTATCATCGCCTTCTGCTGCTTCCTTTTCGTCGCAGTCCGTCCAAACGCCACCCAGAGAATCTGCGCCGTCCACACCTAAGCCGCCGGCTTCCTCTTCTTCGATCACGGCAAACCAGAAGCCTGGATTGCCAGGCAAAGGTCCCAAGACGTTCGAAGAGATGGGAGTTCCTACTATCCAAAAGGACAACGATTGCGTAAGTTTACTGCTTATCTTAAACTCCCAGTAACAGAAATACTAACTTCAATACAGATTATCATGTGATACCCAGGCCACTTTTGCATTCGGCATGTTTCCTTTCATACTTATTTCATTGTAATTGGCATTTCGGGAAGAAAAAAAGAACATTTTGTCTTGATTTTTGATTTATCTTCTCATTCTTGGAAGGGCTTGTTGACGACCTGCATAGGAAAGGCGTGTGTTGACGGTTGTTGTCCTTCTAGGGTTGTTATTCGACCTTACATCTTTGAAATAGAGCGTTCTGTTTACCTTTTTAATCTTTATGATCCTATATTCTGTGTGCAATAATTAAAATGTTATCCCAGAGACGGTGTCATTATTATACATAACAGTTGGAGGAGGGTTACTCACGTGATGGGGGTAGAGGGTCCTATACTCTAACGTAAACACCATCACCAGCAGTGGCACCAACCAGTTACAACAACAACTATTCGCCCCATTTCAGCAATCACTCGTCACTCTTATCTCTTCCAGTGGGATTCGTTTGTCTTCTCACATCCATCACCCTGGATATGTCGCAAAAGAAGGGGAAGGCAGACAAAAAGCCTTGTAACGATGGTGGGCTTCAATGAGCGAGCAGACCTGGTATTATGGCCGGCTGATATCAGGAACAGATGGCGCTGCGTTGATTCTCGACTATCTTCGTAAGTTTGTCGTTCTTTATTGTACCTACAGATTCTTATAGATACCCGTCGACTAACATGGGTCCAATGAGGTTCGGTAGGGAAGCAAAAGTATGTTTTACCTTACTGCCTCAAATTTGTCTCCTACGCCGTCTCCTATACAGTAACCATCTAATATTTTAGAGCAGTCGCCCGTATTCGGTGCGTTTCCCTCGAAGTTGCTCACAAGAGAGATGCTAATTCCCATGTTTGTTTTTATTCTATACAGGCGATTGATATATCGTCAAATTTGCACAACAAGGTCACCAAGGGTAAGCTATGCATATCCATGGTCCAATTCAACTCCGCTGACGGCCCTATTCAAAGCGTATGCCGCAAAAGCCCTACGTGAATTACATCAAAATAAAGAGGTTGAAGGACGGGTAGCTGGCAAGTGGTCGAACCTGACCCTGGTGAAATTTTGAGAGCCAAATACTAATGTCAATCTCTCTTTCATATTAGGGAAACAAACAGTTTACCATGCTCTGCAGGATTCATCTGATGAAGCCACGACCGGAGTCATAGCGAACCTAGACGAGGAAATCAAGCAATTAGAAGAAAACCTTACAACCCTGAAAAATAATGAAAAGAACGCGCGAGCTGAGCTGGTCACTATTCGCTCCAAACCTTTGCTCTCCGAACTCCGACAGGATATCGACCGACTCGAGAAAGAGAAGGACTCAATGCTTGCACGACTGGACGAATTTCACGGACGTGACTCGTCGGTGCAGGTATCACCGAAGGAACAAGCTGAAGTTGAACGAGAATGGAAACGTTGGCAGAAACAGGTAATTGTGCGTCGCCGTATATGCCGTGATATGTGGATGAAATGTTCGGAGGTTGTGTCTGAAGGAATGACTCGTGAGGAGTTATGGGTATGTGCTTCCCCCCCTTCCTTCTATCCGTTCCGGGACTTTTCCCGCAAGGTAGAGATAAGCGTGTTTCTAAAGGTATCGAACAGGAATCCTTGGGACTCGAGGGTGATTGCAAATGGTAGGAACAACGTTGATGCTCGTTTCTCGATATGATGAAGTGATATACAGTATGGAGATGGAGTACATAAAGCCGAGGTATGGATCCCCAAACCCCGCTGTGGCCTGCATTGGCATAGAAGGATTACTCCATATTCTGTATGGAGTATAGAGTGCAAAAGATATCACTAAGACTCTGACAGTGGCAATAGCATTCTTGCTACACAGCAGTCCCACAATGTGACACAATTGTATACTTTGAGAGTACAATACCCGTTTATCAACAGCTGGGAGAATGATCATCCGCCACTAGAGGAGATCCGTTTGAACCGAAAAATTGAATGCATTTTGGAAGAAATACTCAACCAATGACCGAAACGGCTACTTAGTACCATTGCCGTGTAGAGAAAGACGGGAAGGGCCGAGTTGATGGCCACAAGTCTACCTATCTGACCCCGGAGGGAAGATTCATGCGACAAGGTCAGGTTGTCATGGCGTGTGAGGACATGACGACACATCTTGCCTGGACGATTCTTCTATGTTGCAGGACCATCTGGCAGCGTCATGCGCCTTTGCCTTCGGAGCGGAGGAGTAAACATACTTGCGGCTGGCGAGCGTGTCGCAAAATAGATTCTATTGCTAATCAGTTGCAACAGATCGAACCCAAATGATAAAGCGAGGACGAGCAACGGAGAAGGATTGAAGCTACGATCGGAACTAGTGAGGAGAGTTGAGGCTATGTCGTGTACCTTGGGTGGTCAAAGTTGAATCGGCCATTGGATCATTATTGACTATTCAAGTGACTGCTGACTCTACAGGCATATCCCATATAACAAACGACAATTCGCATTCACTACTTGTTTCTCTTTTGTCATCTTGTCTATATGATCTTCATATTTGTCCATAGCTTCTTCTTCTCCTGCCAACTCTCTCACCGCCAAGGCGCCCCCTCGATCTCTTCTGCCCGATAAACCCCTCCTCCGACTTCTCTCTTTTCATTCCTCCATTATATCTCTGTTCATTCTTTTAATACATCTAATTCCCCGGGACTTCCCTTTCCTTTCCTAATGGAGATGCAGGTTTCTGCTTCCCAGAATCCTCCTCCTGCTCCTTTCTCCCCTCCCTCCGCCTCCGCCTCCTCCAATAACGGTCCCCGGGCCCAGAACCGCCTCTCGGGTGAATTGAGAAGTCGTGGTTCTAACCCTCCTCTGCCTGTTCCCTCCGGTACGCCATCTGCTCAGAACGGTCATTCTCGCAATCTCTCCGGATACGATATGGCTGCTCGCAGTCCTCCGAATCAAAGCAGTAAGAACAATCCGTGGTGGCTTTTCCTCAGAGATTTTACCACATATTGCCTCTGCCTGCTTTGAACAATAGAGGCGACGGAGGAAAATAAAAAGGTGTAAAGAATAAAAACTGACACTTTATCTGGAATTTAGATACCAAGCATGTTCCCTGCAAGTTCTTCCGTCAAGGAGCTTGCCAGGCCGGTCCAGCCTGTCCGTTTTTACACTCGACCGATGCGGCGATCGACTATGCGCCTTGTAAATATTTCACCAAGGTATGGTCTATTCCTCTCGCCTTTGTTTCTGCTTTGATACTATAGGGATTGTAGCAGCAGAACTAACGTAACTGCTTTTTTCTTCTGGTTATAGGGCAACTGCAAGTTCGGAGCAAAGTGTGCGCTTGCACATATCCTCCCAGATGGACGACGAGTGAATCGACCAAGTCCTTCCCTGGGAATGGGTGGAGGCCATCTTAACTTGGGTGGCCGCATCAACCCGCAGGCCTATGTCAACCAAGATTCAGCCTTGACGAATTCAGTCCTCTCGCAGCAGCGGATGATGAGCAACCAAGACCCTCGATACGTCTCGCAGCTTCCGCCACAAGAAGAATTCGCCGCTTTGCATGCGCAGCAACAGCAGCAACCCCAGCCGCCAGCAGCTCCATATGATGCAATTCCCTCGATTGATGCAGGACTGGCCCCGGAAGCCGGTTCGCCTGTCGACGATATTCGGTTTCCCATGTCGCCCAACAATCCTCTGACTGCTCTCGATGCACCGCTTCCTGCATCATTTGACAGCGAAGGAATCTCACACGCGGCTCGTTATGGCCCCGTGGCTGCCTCGATGCCATCGAAATTTGGGCTCGACCTGTCGTCCCCACCTGCCCAGAGAGCTAGACCTTCGGATGCACTTCGAAACCTTCGCGATACGGCTTACGCCCCCGACCTACGAAAGCAGTCCTTAATGGGATCGTCGCCCCCGGGAATGCAAGATGAAGCAATAGGAACACGACTCTTACACTCACAACGAGCAGTGAGACCTAAGATGCTATCCGCCAGTGTTCCTCGACCAACGATGTTGGACGAGTGGGACGAGAATTTTCCAATGGAAGAAGACTATTTGCCCATGAATCTGCATGATGATGTCCTTACCCCCCAGGAAAAGCTCCGACGACTGTCGCGCACTGAACACGAATACAGTTCGAGTCACCGTGACATGAGCGGGCTCGGCATGGCCAGTTCCAGTTTCTCCAAAATGGGCTCTCCCCTCGCATCCAGCCCATCCCGTTTCGGTGCATTGTTCGCTAAACAACGGCAAAAGAAGGAAGAAGAAGGCCATGCAACTGGCACGTCGCTCCCTCAAGTTGGTTCACCCCTTCGCGAGTCTTCTCTTCGTGAGTCTTCTCTGAACCTGGGCACGAGTCCCAGTCTCGGCCCCATCGGAAGTCGGAGCACTGGCAGTCCCGCACGACAACCGTCGACATCCATGATTTCACAGCAGCTCAGCAACATGTCTCTTCATCCTGGCTCTGCACGTCATTCCTCGTCTATGGGTGCGAGCAGCCGTCTAGACCGTACCGTTTCGTCGCCTGTCAACACCAGCACGATCGACGAGGAAGAACAGAGCGACTTGGTTTTCTCCATGGAAGAGGAAGAGAACAACAAGCGGTGCAGCATTTCGTGGGACGCCAACAAGGAGGATTCGAACGATGAGGTCAGCGCCAGTTAGTCACGACTATCTTGAAAATGCGCAAAAGTGTGCATGGGAATGAGAAAAAAGAAAAAAAAAAAAAAAAAAAAAAAAAGGCAGGAGTCAAAAAGGTTTACAAAAACTCAAAAGGGAACATAAAAGTACATGCTGAGGTATCAGTCCCCAGCCATCTTTCTTTTATCTAAACACATCAGTCATTTTCATATGGAGTGCGTTGATTCTCTGTTTTTCTTTTGTTCTGTTCTTGTTTTGGCGGATGATTTTGCATAGAAACGGCCATGGCCATGGCTCTGGGAAGTCTTACCACAAAACATCATTCTTTTTTTTTTTTTTCCGCGGTGCCTGCATTGGGTCGACGTTCAGTATTTAGATACATATTTTGGATTTATTTGTTTCAGGATGGCTTGGAATAACGGTGTTTCTGAGAGATTTCGACCAGGAGGGTTCACCCTGTTATTTATCATCTGCCCGGCATTTTTTGTACACAATGATTCGGGTTCGTCTGTTTTCACTTGGACTCTCCTGTCTATCATGAGTTGATGATATATATATTTGTTATTAGTTTTAGTCACTCACAAGGTACTGTACAGTGGTTCATGTACTGTCAATACGCAAATACATTTCTGATGTCTTTATTTACAAATTCTCTTAAGCAAAAAAAGCAAAGGATTACTGGATAAGCACAGATGGATAAAACAATGGATGAATTAAAAACTTGTTTTCTTCATAGTATACATGAACAGTTGCACCACCTGTCCAAAACCAGACACCTATCTACGGTATTACGCCTTTGCCCCCATAAAAACAAAGCCTGGTCGTGTTTCCCTTATACCTGCCATTTCGTCCCATTCCCATTCTCCATCGATAAGATATCAACTCCTTGGTTCTATGTCATCCATATAGACGGCATTACCCCTAAGACTCACAAAAGAGGCGCCTTGGGTGTGCGCTTTGATACCCGCTGTCTGCTCCTGTGTAGCCCTGTCAATGACAACACGCTGCTCGCGGACCTTGGCATCAGCACTCTTGGCCGCACCCGCCTGATCCTGATAAAGGGCCTCGTAAATCTTGTCCGTCCCGGACACAATCTGGTTCGTCATCGTCTCGACAGCACGGATGGTGAGTACCTCCACGCGAGTTGCGAGGGCGGACTTCTCATCAGCACGAGCGCGTTTGACCACTTCTTCTCGTTCTTCCTGCTCAGATGCTTTTCGCTTGCGCTCTTCGACTTTCTTCCGACGCTCCTCTTTCGCTGCGAGATATTTGAGGGAATGACCCAGTTTTTGACGCGACGAAGGCAGAATGTCCATTGAAAGTGAAGAGAAGAAGAGGACACGGCCGTGGTCATCACAATGGAATTGTTCCCGTATGTCAGCGGGAATTGCGGCGTTGGCGGCATCGCTTAGTTGGAAGACTTCGATAGGCCGCGGTGCATTAGGATTATATACTGTCGGCTGCGGGACCAGGCGGTTTGTCTGGTATGGTGAATACGGGGTTGCCTGGGCAGCTGCATACGGGCTAGAAACCGCGGCTCCTGGGTAAGGTACACCAGGTGTTGGAGGCGCAAAGCTAGGGCGTCTTTGCAAGCCAGGTTGGTACACCTGGGCCGGTGCCACATTCGGCGATTGATAGGATGCGGAGGGTACAGGCACTGGAGAACCTTGAACTGGTACAATGGGTGCAGCCGGAGAACGTATCGGCACAGAAGGAACACCGGCCATTGTAATGTTACCCTGGCTATCCACGCTTGGCCGGACAGGACTCTGACTGACAGGTGGTTGCCGAGAAGCAGGTGGCAGAGAAGATGGGGGGAGGGAAGGGGGTGGAGATGGTGTTGGCTCAGGTGGTGGAGATTCCTGGGCTGTGTCAGTCTTTCCTTCTATTCTGGTCTAACAAGAGAACTCACATTTTCATCTCGTGGACGGCAATGAACCGCTCCTACAACTGGTGGTGCATTCTCTGCTCCCCAAGTCGCCCTAGGAAGATCATCCGTTTCCTTTGCATCCTTATTCAGTAGGTGTTTAATTGGACTGGGGATTTTCTTGATCCTCCGCGGGATGTCAAAGAGATCCATCTCGTAATCTTTCTCCCTCACTTCGTCCGGAAGGCAGCTTGCCCAGGTCTTGATCTTGTTCAACTTGTGCTTCTCTTCGTTGTACCGAGATTCACAGACGTACACGTCCTTCTCCGGGGCTAGACCTCTTGGTCGTCCGCGATTATAGCGGGTAACGAACATGACGAAACAACGATCAATGACCTCTTCAATGCGATGATCACGATACTGACCCGTTTTAACCACTTCATTGGGATAGAAATGCTTCTCGTAATGGTGGACTGTTTGCTCGGGCCGATAATACCAACAGGCATTGACCCATTTTTCGCCTTCTGGGTCTTGCCACGTACGGTAGATTTGTGCTACGACGGGCTTCGTGACATCATTAGAGTTTTGAATGTGAACCCAGTCGCCAACTTTCCACATCTCACCCTTGTAGAGGATACCGTCTGGCAATGGGAGACGCCCGTCCTCCATCAAATACTCGCTATCGGGCTTTTTCTTTTCGAGCTCAGCGAGTTTGCGCGATTCCACTTGCAAGTCGACGGCATCTCTGTATATTTGGCTTTCAGGCTGATTGTAGGCCTTGGCGTTATTGAACATCAAGTTCATGTCTCTCATGAAGTGATCGACCGATTGATACTTCTTCCGTTTCGACTTTCTCTTGATGAGGTCGATTGCAACAGGCTCTTTAATTTCCATGTAGTAGTCCGGATAAGTTCCCTTGTCTGGCAGTCGCTCAAAGTGTCGCACTTTCAGTTGGCTGCTGGGATCTTTCAACTTCCGAATCCCCTTCAGAACTGCCTTGATCCGAGCTTCCATCGGGGTGTCCACACGCGGCGGCCGACCTCGCTTCTTCCGCATCTCAGGCTCTTTCTGGCCGTCGTCTTTCCCATCGCGCTTGGGCTTGGGGCCACGCTTTTTCTTATGGCGACCTTCATCATCGGAATCGTCCTCGTCATCATCGTCCTCGTCATCCTCCTCCTCTTCCTCCTCCTCAGGAAGAGGATCCGGGTCGGGGATCTCTCCAAGATCAGGCAGTTGAGCCTCTTGGGCAGTAATTATTCCTTGCTTGGCCAGCTTATTGAATTCTTGGGCGAAAATATCCTATACCTTGAGATTAGTATGTGCTCTTCCTCCCCCTTATTGATGGAGCGATTGTTTCTGCACATACCTTGATGACAAGCGCATCCTCATAGGCTTGCGACATTGGACGATTGTAGGTTTGCGCATTATGCGGGATCTAATAGCGGAAGACACGACGAACTGTTAGTACCTTGCGAAAAATGGAACGGAGTGTATAGAATAAAAACCCGGGGGAATGTCGCATCCATACCAGCGCGCAATCTCGCACGAAATCCGAGAACTTCCTGTACTCTCGCTTGTTGATTTTCTGCTTGAGAATGCTGAGAGCCATTGGCTCCTTGATAACCTCGTAATAATCGGGCACATAGCGTTTGTTGACACTGCGATGGAACAACTTCGAAGGGTCGTGGCCACTGCGGCGGTTAAAGCAATAGTTAATTAGAGCTGTCTTTCTCGCATGCGGTCATCGCGGGTGGAGCGCGACAGCAGCCGCGGTCAGGAACGCCGGCAGGACAAACTTACTCTTCTTCGCGCACCTCATAGATGGTCAGGACCACATCCATCATGATCCTCCATAGATCATCCGGAATAGGAGCTCCATTCTGATTGTCACCCTTGTTATCGTCCTCAATGGACTTGACGGGCTCCTCAGATTGGGCCTGCGACGGCTCCATGTTTTCTGGGGAAGGGGCCACAGCAGAAAACCAAGGTCCACTGATCGCACAACCAACGGAACTGGCGCAAAAACGCGGGCGCTGAGATCGTTAATGGACAGCAATTGCCTGTTCGTCTCTTGGAAAAGAGCGAGAAGAGATAGAAGAGCAAAGAGGAGTGTCTTGCTGACTCAGCCAGAAGCTTCACAATACAATACGGTATGGTATGGTAACCAATATCATGTCTGACATCATCACGTGCCGCGCGCATCTGATCGATATATGCAGACTTCAGGTGGAAGAGTCTCTACGGCGTAGGATATTTCGAATCAATTTAACAAGTGTCTTCTCGTTCTTATATGTACCATAAATCTGGCTATTATATACTTCATACCGATATTCAACATGCACTCCATGGCTGCTTCTTGCCCCACTCGCTATCGCCCTGATACTATCATCGTGAGCCACCACATGTACTAAATTACTCCTTCCTTCCTTTTCTCCCTCACTTCTACACATCTCTCCTTATATACTCTAATTATAAATCCATCTTCGCGATTTACATAGTGCACCAATTGAGTCTCAAGAATGAGAATCCGAGTCCGTGGTCCTGAGGGCCAATCCACAGTTATCCTGGACGATTCCGCTACCGTCGACAACCTCCGCACGCAGATCACGGACAAGACAGGACTGACGGCATTCGATGTTAAATATGGATATCCCAACCTCAAACCGCTAGAGCTTGAAGGCTATTCCGGGAGCCAGAAAGTTACGGAAATTGGCATTAAACTGAACGGCGAACAGCTCATCGTCACCCGGCAGGAGGGCGCCCCCCAGCCAGCACCCAGTGGCGAGGATACTACTGGAACACCAGCTGCTTCATCTCGGAATCCAGATCGCCCTCTTTCTTTATCGCGCAAGTCACATGAGGACGTCTCAGATGATCCCCCAGAGATACCGTCACCCGACCACTCGGGCACCTTCGTGCTCCGTATCATGCCCGATGATAATTCATGTCTCTTCCGCGCGATAGGAAGTGCGATTATGGGAGGGATGGACACTATGAATGAATTGCGGTCAATCGTTGCGCAGACAATCCAAGCGAACTCGGATATGTACTCGGAGGCGGTTCTTGAGAAGAAGCCGGACGATTATTGCCGTTGGATCCAAAACGAGGATTCGTGGGGCGGAGGGATCGAGCTCAGCATTTTGAGCAAGCATTTCGATATTGAGATTTGTTCGATTGATGTGCAGACGCTCCGGGTGGACCGTTTTAACGAAGGCCCGCCGACCCGGTGTGTTCTGGTCTATTCTGGGATTCATTATGATACTATTGCCTTGTCGCCGTCAGATGCTCCCTTTACCCATACCTACGCCCCCCCCGACTTCGATACAAAGGTATTTGATGCGGCCGACCCAGTGGTCCTAGGCAAATCGTTGGAAGTGTGTCGGGTTTTGCAGGAGAAGCATTACTACACAGACACCGCAGGTTTTCGCATTCGCTGCAACACATGCGGGGGCACGTTTACCGGGGAGAAAGGCGCAACACAACATGCGGCGCAAACTGGGCATTATGACTTTGGCGAGGCCGGCTAACTCTGTGCAGTCTGAAAATAATCATAGGCATGTTCATGTGTACAGTGGGTAATTATATATTAAATTCCCTGAGTCCTTTCCCTGTCTGTTCGGTGTGGCAATTACATAGGTTTGGAAAGGCAGCGACCATTTCAACCCATTCTCTATTGTTGACACCGTAATTACAGAGTAATTAGATTGCAAAACTGTATGGTAGGAACCAACAGTTCATGCAGAATACAAGTCACCTCCAAAGCCCTTGTTATTAAAGTTAAGCATTAGGAACGCCACATAGGATATCATACTCATACATGTACATGACAGATCTTTCTTTTCTTTTCTTTTCTTTTTCTTGAGGCTGCCCTTTTCACAGCATTGCTACTTCATCCGCCTCATCTTGTTCACCCTCTCCTTCGTCTTCTTCCCCTGAATCGCCGCTATCGGGGTGTCCTCCCCATGCAACATCATGGTCTTTAGGTTCCGTGAAGAACTCGTGTTGCAATGCCTCCTTTGCACCCAAACGCTTGTGCGGGTCGAGTTCCATGAGACCGGCCAGAAGACGAGTGGCTTGTTTTTCACTTTCTGTCAGTTCTTCAACGCAACTGGCCCATTTCACTAGTTTCTCCCAGCTGTAGCCCTTTTCGCCAATTGTCGGTATATTTGTTTCAAATATTTGCCCATGCAACGCCGCAGCTGCCTTCATGCGACGTGTACCAAAGATGCTTGCCATTTCGATCATGGCGTCGATGTCATCGGCCGAGTTAAAAAATGGAAAACGGCGTCCAAGTAAGGTCAACAGAATCACACCGGTCGACCACATATCAATCTTGGTCGTCTGACAGGTACACTTGAAAAGGACTTCTGGGGCTCGGAATCCACGGGTCCCTGCTCGGTTAGCCCGTCTCGACGGCCGCGAATCATTCTTGGGATAGCCAACGGATAATGAGCCGGGGTTGCAGTGAGTGCTGTAATAGCTATGGAGTATTCGGGTTCGACGCGTCACGGATGAGCTAGTGCAAAGACAGGTACCAGTGTATTCCGATCCTTCGCGCTGTTCACGGGTTAGGTCACTTCTATAACTTATTCCAAAAACCCTAACTTACCTCTGCAAGACCGAAGTCCACCAGCACACCTTCACGGATGTCAGGGTTGTATAAGAAGTTTGTTGGCTTAATATCTCGATGCAGGATGCCGTGCTTATGAACTGATTGCAATGCGGTAAACAGAGACCGGAAGTAATGGCGCATGTCGGCAACCATGAATGTACGGTATTGGACGCGAAAATCGGAGTGAGGGAAAAATGGTAAGACGGCAACGACCTGATCTAGATGTCGAAAAGCAGTAATTAGAGGACACACGGACCTGCAGCCACGAAGGTCATGAAGCAGTTCCAATTCGTTCTGAATCCGGAGCGGACTGCTTGTCACGTAAATCTTCTTCAATGCAACGTATCGCGGTTTCTTTTGCTTTACTGGTGCTGATCGACCTTGTCCATTATCGCCTTCGGTCCGGCGCCGTTTTGATGGTGGACTTTCCCGGGTGTCATTTTGGCTGTCTTGAAACATATCCCAGTCGTTGATATAATGATCGTATAGGAGATCTTCTGCTTTGTACACAGTAGAAAATGTACCTGCAAATTACCAGACGTCAGCCACAAGCTCTTTTCTTTTCGGCTTCATTTGTATGAGTCTGAAACGGGGAGAGAAGATGCAGCAAGAGATTACCTTCTCCAATTCTATTTACCAACCGAAATCGATCTGAAATTCCCGGGAATGAATCCTCCAGCTTTCTCATGTCTTCCTTTACCGAGTCATCAATATCCTCATCATCTTCGAAATCGCTCTGCTCTTGGAGTCGATTTTCGACATCACTATCTGTAGCTGCATCATCTTCCACCACGTAGTTCGGTCCGGTCGCACGAGATTGTGTCAGAGAGTCGGTCCTTTGCAGCTCGAAAACTCCTGCAGGAGCTGGGTGAGCCGACATAGTATGGGAGTATAAGATGAAGCAGCAGAGGGGGGTTCGCGTTGCGTGAGGGGTTCAACGAGGATCGAATAAATGGGGTTATTCGCGAAGTTCGGAGGAATATGACCTCAGATCTGATATGATTGAGTACCAATTTAGTTAATTAATCAAAAAGAAATCACTACTAGTCGTGCAATTCGTCGCTGGCGTCTGTCCGCAACCTCGAGTCGCGAATGCATGTGTCTGGTGCGCGTCTCTTTTTTGCCCGTTAGAGCGGCGAGCGAAAATTGCCCCATCCGGTATGGTCGCTGTTTATTTACGCCGATGCAGTGCCCTTTGAATTACCTGTATTCTCAATCATAACCAATAAAGTGTGTAGGATAAAATTACGGTACGTCACATACGCAGGTGATAGTACTATCGGGACGTACAGAATAGGAAAAATACAAACAAATGATATGTTTGTTTGGTTTTCATCGCTGGTCGCCATCTCGACTCGTTTTTGTCTTCCTCCCTTTACCTCTAAACCCCGCGATATCCCTGACCCCTCCATATCTTGATCCTGCTCTTCCCCTCTGTCGCCTCTGTTCATCGAGGCTCACTCATCATGGAGGACAGGATCCAGTTCGATATTAATGAGTCGCTCAAGTTCTACCTGAGTGACCCGACCTCCGTTCCCACCCCCGATGCCGACTCCGAGTTGATAGACTGCGAAACAGACCCCGATCAATTATCATCTACGCTGGTCGACAATGTGTTGAACTCCGTTGTGGATGGAGTAGCAGAGAGCCCGGAAGGTCTGACCAGGTCATCCTTCTTTGACTCATTACAATTTTTGTTAAAGTACGCATTGATCACTCTGATGTTGATGGATTGAGCGCTGAACTTGTGGATTCTTAATAGGTATTCGGCCTTCGTCCCTACACGGTCCCTCAGCAAACTTTTAGATCTCGTTGTATCCGGGCTATCAGTCGAAGCGGACACCATCCACGGCGATCTCGAGTCAGATGAGCAAGATGCCATTCAGCATCACAAGCAACTATTGGAAATGTACGGCTTCTTGCTTCAGTGGGCTCTGTCAGCTGTTGAAATCAAAGCGGCCGAAAAGCCCACGGAGGCTGCACCGGCAAGGAGGGGCGCTGGGAAGTCCAAGTCCAAAACAAGCACGCGGGGAGACGGCCACTGGGACTGGACACCCCAAATCCAGATGTCTATGGAGACAATGTGCAAAGTTATGAAACTTAAGCTTGGCCGCATATTCCTGACTACCTCGGACCGTGACACCTTCATTAACCTATTTTCCCGCTCAGTCTACCTCATGTTGGAGAGTGAGCAACGGGTAAAGAGCATGGCAATCCGCATGCATGCTTTCAAGGTCCTTTGCATAGCCGTCAAGCATCATGGCCATGCCTTTGGTAAGCTTCTTGGTGTTGCAAAAAGTGGGAACAAGCTGCTAAAAGAATGGTCGCTTTAGGAGCCCAGACATCTATCGTACAGAGCTTGACGTACTTTGAACACCTATCCGAGCCGATGGCAGAGTTCCTCCATATCCTTGCAGAACAATACGACTATCCGCAGCTCTCGGATGAGATTCTAAAGTACTTTCGCGCCGAAAGAATGATATGATTACGAGCAATAGGCTAACCTGGCACAGGGAACTGGCGAACAAGGAGTTTAACTCCAACGATACCAGGGGACCAAAATCGGTATCTGCATTTATAGTGAAGCTCTCAGAACTTACGCCTCGCTTGATCATTAAACAGATGACCCTTTTAGCGAAGCAGCTCGATAGTGAGGTATGGTGTTCCTTCGCTGCCTCCCCTGCGCTGATCGCATGAACGAAAGGGAACTAAATATCTTCACAGTCGTATACCCTCCGTTGCGCCGTGATTGAAGTCTGCGGAAACCTCCTCATCGACTTGAGTAAACAAGAAGAGCCAAGTGAAAACTACAAGACGCAAATTAACGCTTTTTTCGATGTCCTTGAAGAGCGCTTCCTTGACATCAACCCTTACTGTCGCTGCCGAGCCATCCAGGTGTACTTGAAGATATGCGACCTCGAACAGAAGTTCCCCAAACGTAGACAGGCAGTTGCTGAGCTTGCAGCGAGAAGCTTGGAGGATAAAAGCAGCAATGTGCGACGAAATGCGATTAAGCTACTCGGAAAGTTGGTCGCGACTCACCCATTCAGCGTTATGCATGGAGGACAGCTTTCTTACCAAGAATGGAATTCCCGACTTGAGGCTGTCGACGTCGAGTTGAATGCATTGAGGCCTCCTGAAACACCTGGCTTCGACGGAGACGAGGGATTGCAAATTGACAGTGAACTTTTGGACGATGCAACACAGTTGCCAGAAGACTCTCCCTCCAAAGCTCCTCGGATGACAGAAGAACAGAAGGCTATAGCGATGCAGAAGGCTGCAGAACAAGCAGCAACATCTGAGCTGCTTACCAGACTCCAACTGACGAGGAAGTACTACAGCGAGGCTATTCGCTTTATCGAAGTCCTCCACATGGCCTCTGGAACCGTCTCCCAGCTCTTATCATCTAAAAATAAGAGTGAGGTTATCGAAGCCATGGATTTCTTCGTGATGATTGATGCCTACAAGATTGAGACTGCGCGCAGCGGCATTCGGCGAATGCTGCGGCTTATCTGGACTAAAGGGAACAGTGATGAGGGTAAAGGAGTGCAGACACATTTGATCGACTGTTATAAGGGGCTTTTCTTCGAAGCGCCGGACTCCTTTAGCACTAACGACACTGCTAACTATATTGCCCGGAACATGATCAGTTTAACGTTTGGTTCGACTCCTGCCGAACTTACTTGCCTTGAACAGTTACTTAGCACGATGATGAATGCTGGTCATATTTCAGAAGCTGTCATCGCGAAGCTCTGGCAAGTTTACGGTGTTCAGAAGAAGGAAATCTCCAAGACGCAGCGCCGAGGTGCTATCATCGTCCTTGGAATGCTTGCTTTGGCAGACCCCGAAGTTGTCATCAAAGAGATCGAAACCATGCTGCGCATCGGTCTTGGGGGCCTCGGAAGAGCAGACCTTGTGCTTGCAAAATACACATGTGTCGCGCTACGGAGAATGGTACCTGGTCGCCAGGCCAAATCAAAGGATGCCGGTATTCCAAAACTTACGAATGATCACCCTGTTCTTGCCAAGCTTGCTGCCATGGTTGAGATTGTATCGGATAGCAAGGAGTGGTTTGGAGTGGCAGAACAAGCTGTCAGTGCTATTTATGCACTGTCTAAACATCCAGACGTACTCTGCTCTGACATTCTCAAACGGAAGACCAGATTCGTCTTTCAACCACAATTGCAACGACCTTCCCCATCGGCGGAGACCGCAGACGGCGATGAACAACGCCCAGGAACAGCATCGTCAGATGGCCAAGGTGCAAGGCCCAAGACTACATCTGCTGCTCTTTCCCAACTGCTATTCGTTGTCGGTCACATCGCAATCAAACAAATCGTTCATCTCGAACTCTGTGAACTCGACTTTAAGCGCCGCAAGGCAGAGCAGGAGAAAAACAAGCCGGTCAGCCAAGCGGCTCAGAACCAATCTGCAGATGATGAATTGGATTTGATCGGTGGAACAACTGAAGATGACTTCACAGATGCTATGAACCACATTCGCGAGCGAGAACTCCTGTATGGGGAGAACTCCCTGTTGTCCAACTTTGGACCATTGGTTGAAGAGGTCTGCGCAAACAGTAACACATACCCAGATCGCAACCTACAAGCAGCAGCGACTCTGTGCATGGCGAAACTCATGTGCGTGTCGGCTGAGTATTGTGAGAAGAACCTCCCACTCCTGATCACAATCATGGAGCGCTCTGAGGACCCGACAGTCCGTAGCAACGCGGTCATTGCGCTTGGTGACATGGCGGTCTGCTTTAATCATCTTATCGACGAGAACACCGACTTCCTGTACCGCCGATTGAATGATGACGATCACTCAGTCAAACGTACTTGTCTCATGACACTGACCTTCCTGATTCTGGCGGGTCAAGTCAAGGTCAAAGGACAGCTTGGTGAAATGGCCAAGTGTCTGGAAGACAGCGACAAGCGGATCGCTGATCTGGCGCGTATGTTCTTCACAGAACTGGCTGGCAAGGATAACGCTGTGTACAACCACTTTGTCGACATGTTTAGTCTGCTGAGCGCGGAGCGCAACCTCGAGGAAACTTCTTTGCGCCGCATCATCAAATTTCTGATTGGCTTCGTTGAAAAGGTATGCTATCAATTCCCTTTTTCCTTTGTTCTTCTATTGCAGGCAACTAATAACAATACCCCTAGGAAAAACACGCCCGGCAATTGGCAGAGAAACTTGCCGCTCGCCTTCCTCGATGTGAGACAGAGCGGCAGTGGAACGATGTCGCGTATGCCTTGTCCCTTTTGCCGCATAAGAATGAGGATATCACCAAGACGGTGACAGCCGGATTCAATATGGTTGCCACTGTCGCCACCGCTGCTGCTGCTTAAGTCTAGTGCTATTTGTTATGGACTATAATGCGTTTTATGAGATTCGGGTTTCTGATCCATTGGGAGTAACGGCGCGATACTGGATGGAGGACTTGACTACGGGATTATACATATCATAGTTAAACGAGTTTTGTCTGTTTATTTGTTACTCTTGGATTGTATATAATTTCTACTTCGTTTCTTACTTTCCGTGGATGGTGAATATTGTTTTGGTTCCAGAATATATCCAGTCATGGCTCAGGTTGCTCTTGGCCATAACTAATTAGAGATACCGTAGGGTCTCGTCTTCTTTATATATGCCGGCCTCGAGAAAATGTAGACTAACGATTGATTTATTAATTGGCACCGAGAATATTCTCATCAGAAGTACACAAACAAACCAAGAAAATAGCAGAAGAGTCGTGATCCTTCACCGATTGCGCTGACATATCAACAAAACAAATTCATTAAGAACTGGATAAGGGAAATTTTATGCGCCCATTTTTTGGCTTTCCTCCAGTTTATATTCACCATTGCTTACTCCCTGAAGTGCTTGACGACCTTCTTCAGTCAACTCCGGTTTGCCCGAGGTTGTGGTTGGACTCGTGAAGAAGCGCGGTTGCCATGTTTCGTTGTTTTGCTTTCGTTCGGCTGCCTTCTGGCGCTGTCGCTCCTCGATATCTTGCTTCAGCTTTGTGGCTTGGCTGTACCGCTTGTCCAGGATAGCTTCTGTGACCCCCGACCAGAACTTGCGAGACTCATTAGACAACTGGGTCTCTTCGGGAGGGACAGTCTTAGCAGCTGGGAAAAGAGGGGCGATATCAATTAACAGTTGGGGATCGGTTGTCCCAGCTAGAGTATAGTGGATTTGGCCATGCCACGATCCGCTGATTCGGGCCAAGACATCGCTTTCCGGCACGTCTTTTATTTTTGTCGCAGTATCGTTGCCTGGGTTGTACCGGAAGACCAAGCCTTCAACTTTGTATTGGGCCCGGCCAATCCAACTGTCCTCTTGGTACTGGAGGATTGTTTTGATGCGCGTTTTAGGACATGTGACATAACATGTATCTGAGACAGTAATCGACAGTGCCCCTCTTAAAATACCCCCAAGATAAGCAGCAGGATGAGACATCTGGTACTCTTCATTGCCCCTCTTCTCGACGTTGACGAAGATTCCCCGGTTATATTCACCCGGCACAACACGGACGCTTGTGCCAGTGAACTTGGCACTGATTTGATCAAAACCCCGAGCCGAAACACCACGGTCGGGACATTCGATGTAGAAAGCGGACACTGGCGGATGGTGAGACGTCTGTTCGGTCAGGTAGCATACATTGGCCAGTTTTCCACCGCCACCATCATCAACAGAAGTGTTCCCATTCTGGCTGTTTGGACCGGAGGGAACAGATATTCCCGGTGCGCTGTCCTCGACTTCCCATTTGCACTAGATATTCCAAAAACGAAGGGGGTTAGCCACACATACACACGTGCGCATATCCATATATTTGGCTCACCCGGAAGAACTCGCCCAGCGTAGAATTATAAGGTTTGCACGGCTTGCCCTTGATGTATTTCTGCCATAGGTTCAGTTCAACCATCTCAGAAACACCAATGTACAGACGGAATATACCAGGTCCTTGGTGAACCAGAACCGCAAGACCTCCAGCATCCGCCCCAATTCATCATTCGATTTGCCAATGCTGTGACTCCTGTGTCAGATGAAAACGTGTTGTTGTGACGTTATGATGGTCTTGCTGACCTTGCAAAGGTCTCCGGTCTATCGAGATAGTTCCAATATTCTAAATAATAACCCAGCATCTGTCAGCCCAATGCACCGCTGCGAATGCGTGTATAATTGAGTTTGGGGTCTTACCCAAGTTTGGCGTTGGTTCCAGAAGATGTGCAGGTAAAGAGAAGCGGACAGATGCAATGTCTGCCACACCGACGAACCTGACACAAAGCCATTGAGTCAGTACCAATCGAGTGAACTGTGACGAAGCATATCGATATCAACGGTGGGAAGTGATAAAAGGTCAACGCATACTTCCGAAGGATAGAGAGGAAAGTCTTCAACTTTGACGAGTCGTCCGGTGCCTTTTCAGGGGCGGAAGCAGCAGATGCTGATGACATGGTGAAATACTGGAGTATATATTATTATTCTTTTCTTTCCTTTGAAATGTCAAAGTACAGAAAAACGGTGAAGGTACGGTTGCTTGGTGGCTGATGACGATAATCGAGATGATAAGATGACGAATAAGACCAAGAAACTATGTGGCAAACCCGCAATCAATTTCAAGAGTACGGCCAATATTAGAAGGAGAAGAAATCGTGAAAAAAAAAAAAAAAAAAAAAAAAAAAAAAAAGACCGAAGAGAAATAGTAGAAGTCAAAAGTCAGAAGTGAATTGAGTTGACCTGACGAAAAAACGGTGTTCAGGCGGTGTCCCTCGCAATGACGATGGAAGTCTTCTCTTTTACCCTTTTGGTCGACTTCAGGGATGCCTCTACCATAGAAACAGAGATATATACACACATACACAGAGAAAGGATAGATCTTCCTGATCATCTGAAAATGGAACAACGCACCACAAGGGGCGATCATAGAACAAAAAAAAGGCTGTTTTACTGAGAGACTGTCGGCCAATCGAATCTCCCACGAGGTTCATGCGCGGAGGTATACTTATTTTTCTATCTATAGCAAGCACACAGAAAGAAAAATTAAACAGCCTGGTCCTCAAGGACCCCTTTACGCGCCAAAATGCCTACCCATTTACTTACGGTCGATCCGTAGTTGTATCGCCGGCCTGCTGCATAGTCATCGTCGGCATTTTTTGACTGTTGTTCTTCCCGGATGGCGGCCCGAAGCTCTTGTTGTTCTTCACTGAGCTTCTGACGCCATTGGTTTAATTCTTCAGGAGAACAACTTTCGTATGCCTCTTTTTGATCTGGGGGGATTTCGGCATGGTCGATTGCCTCTCTTGACAGGGATAATGATGCATCGGGCTCCAGAATAGTGTTGTCTTCGGTGTCGTGGGCTGCAGCAGTCTCATAATTGGTCATATCCCCGAGGCGCTTGTTGATAACCTCTAGACTTTTGACGTTGACGGCTAACTTTTCCGTAAGGCCAAGAAGGGGGTCTCTGCCTAAGCTCAAAATGGAAAATTCAATCTGGTCTTCTTCGTACTCCTCCATTCTCGTCAGGATGTTGGGTCTGACCAAATCTAGCCAGTCATTTTCTGGACAATCTCCTATGGACTGGGGCTGGCGTTCTAATCCGTCAAACTTCCACACTTTACCCATCGCTGGGACAAATGCAATAAAATGAAACCCCGCGTCTGTCTCGTCGTCCCGAGTACTCTTGGTCCGCCGCCGGGAAGTCGCTTCATTTTTTAGTTGTAGATCAACGTTGCGCATGTCCATCTTACTAAATAGTCATTGTCAGAAATGAAGACCGACGGAAGGTGAGAGCAAAGCATACCGTGCAAATGAGTTGTGTATTCGTTTGACGAATTCGAAATTATTGATAGCATCGCCCCGCAATGCAGGTGTAAAAGACATGGTAAAATCCTTGAACTGCCGTAAATTCTCACCCAATTCAATGCCTTCTATATTATTGACGATGTTTAATAATGCCACACTGCCGCAGGCATTACCAGCTGTCTGTTTCGGTGCATCAGCCTTTTATTAAGTTTATCTGGTCCCGAAGCCACCAACCTGATTAGCAAACCAAAGCCCTTCAGGACAGCTTGGTTCCTGCTTTTCAGGATCGTCCTCTCGCCAGCGAAAAAGGAAGATCAGGCCGTAGACAGGTTTACTGTTCACATGAAGCGAGATTGGTTAGAGAAGCACGAGAAGAAACCAACGATTTTACATAACATACTTCAGAAATGCCAGCAATTCCTCTTCTAATGACACGACTTCTTGCACTTTGACGCCCTTGACGCCAAATTCTCGGAGCATCACATTGAAAAAGGCCTTGATTAGAGTTAGATATTAGTCTATGTTCCTTTTCTCGACTTCCCATGACTTACAGGCTCTGACTCAATTTCACAGAATCCGTTCCATTCATTTGACTTCAGTTCTATTGGCTGGAATATTTCATTGGAATCTTCTTCCCCAAACAGTGAGCTGAGTTTTCTTGGCCTGGCGCGTTCACTCATAACCTAATCTGATTGCACAGTGATTTGGTTTATTAAGCACTGTTGAATAGACCAGGGAAGCAAGAAGAGCTTCTTTTCAGTTGCTGGAAGAATGGATCGAATGAATGTTGATAGAAGAGGTCATCGGCCCATGCACCTGATTGGCCGAAGCTTCTGCTCCAAACGCGACTCCACGCGCGGAACTTCTTTTGCTGCTTTGGCTGCTTCTCCGTCTTTATTTTTTCCCTTTCCCCTCTGATTTAGAGCTATTTCCAGGTGGTAGACAGGTGCTGCCATTTACTCCTTGCCTTTCTCCGGAGGGGACTAATTATTATAGTCCTAACTCCTATTGGTGCCTTTTATCTCTGCGTGTACTCAAGTGAGAACCGCCAAGGATTTTTCGGTCTCTGGTTGTTTCCTCTTCAACCCACTCAGGTCTAGGTATGCTTCCCCTCAAATTATCTAGTTAAAGTCTAGTCACTACGGAGTACTCACAAATATCTCCCGTAAAAGCAGTGATCTCCGCGACCACAGCATGCCATGAACGGCACTCCTCGACTTCGGTCTGCGTTCCCTCAAACGCCTCAGACAGCCCAACGAACAAGGAACTATGGAAGCTATGGGCCCAACACCCCAGCATTCAAATCGCCTAGGCCTCACGAGCCCAGAGAGCTCGAGCCTACCCCAAAGGTCTCTCAGGATGTCGACAGCTCTTCTTCACCGCTAGTGCCAACCAATTTGATAGATGCACCTTCGCAAAGACTCTACGTCGTGGCGTTTTATGTCGCTCTTAATGCTTGGCGATTGTATGAATCTTGGTCTGCATCAGACGACCTGGATTCGACATGGCTTTTCATGAAGTGGAACTTGATTGACGGCATCTTCCTTTTCGGTCTTCAGGCGCTGCGGATACCATGGCTCGAATGGGCCTTTCCGACGACGCTTTCGATCTTTCTGATCCATATTGTTGGTAATATGTTCTTAATGTTCCGCATTCCGGTACGTGCGACTCTGTCGTTTCCTTTTGTCCACGGGTTTGGTGGAATGTCCTGCTAATTTGGGAGTAGATCCCAGTAGCCGCATGGCTTTCGGGAGTGGCTAAGTTGGCTTACGATAGGGAGCTGTCGATCTCTGAACGAAGTGTCAAACCGGGAGACATCATTCACAATTCATCGCTTATCCTGGGAAAGCAAATCGTCCATATTCTGCCGGAGGGGTAAGTTTTTCTCATTCTTGGTATTTTCTGCCGTCCATGAGGCTGGTTACTGATGAGTCTAGTTCTGCCGTTCTCAACCCGGATCATGCACCACTTTGTCTAGATTCGTACAAGAGCTCGATGGACTTGCCAATCCGTGTCAACCAAACCGACCCGATTATTATCGAGCTGTTCCGCCTAGATTTCGACAACGGTGGTAACGAGACAATCTCCATTCCGTCAAAGCAATTGAAGCAGATGAAGCGTCAGGCGGACAAGCAGCTGTCGAGCCCCGACCCTGGATCCCACCGTGATCTGCTGTACCCAGTGCGGCGGCCTGGGATTTATCGTTTGCAGAGGGTTGTGGATAAATCCAACCTTGAAGTCCACATGCGAGCCTCTGATGCACTTGTCGTCCCCTGCCCTCGTGCTACTATCAAGAACACTATTACACACAAATGTCGAGGAGAGCTGTCGAATCTAGTATTGGAGGTCGAAGGAACGCCTCCATTGAAGATCAAATACAGCAGACAGGTGAATAATCTTGACCGCGGCTATTCTTTCCAAACCATCCAGCCGGATAGCTTGCGCTCGCCATTGCTAAGCCAGAAGCGCACCGGTGCGCTTTTCAGTTCACGGCAAATGGATGTCTCCTGGGCTCAGAGCCAGAGAATTGAGGTTCCTTTGAACGAGTCCTTGAATGCTGGAGGCGAATGGTTCTACGCTATCGAGGAGATCCATGATGGTTCTGGAAACGTGGCGAACTACTCGACAGCCTTGGACGAGGTGGATCGCCCATCAGTAAAGCACTCATCGCAGTCGCACCAATTCTCCGTTCATGAAAGACCTCGATTATCCTTGTCTGGATGCGATGACCGGCACTTCTTAGAAGTAGCCAAAGGCGACAGCATCGATTTACCAGTTAAATATCAGCCTGTCGGTAGAGGATACAACGGGGACGGGCCTTTCTCACTCACATACTCGTTTAGCGGAACCGGCCAGAAGACTCGTCAACTATCTTTGAAGAGTCTTGACCTAAAACCCCAGATAAAGGATCCCGGCTGGTATACGTTAGATGCCATTTCAAGCCAGCACTGCTCGGGAGACATCATGGAGCCCTCTTCCTGTTATCTGCACAACCCGCCCGAGCCTGAGTTGGGTGTCCGACATGAGAAGATCTTCGACAAATGTGCTAACAACTCGGTTGGATTACTCGTCGACTTGGACTTTACAGGCTCGCCGCCGTTCCGCCTTCGGTACAGTGTCGAGCATTCAAGAGGCATTGAGACGAAGTCGCTTAGTGTTGATGGGCTGCGTACTCAACTTGATTTTACACCTTCCGAAGCAGGCTTTTACCGATACCGATTCCTTGACGTTGCAGATGCTGTTTATGCTCCACGATCTTTGAAAGACAAAACACCCGTTTTAGAGCAGGATGTCAAGCCGCCGGCCTCTGCCCATTTTACTGGATCCAGAGAAGTGCGAAAAGCTTGCTTTGGCGAGCCAGTATCTGTTGATGTTGCCTTCATCGGCGAATCGCCTTGGACCCTGCAATACGAACTCGTCCACAATGGCAAGAAGACTAAACATGTCCTTGAATCTGAAAGCGATGTCGCAAGTATCGTGACCGACCGCCTCGTCAGCGGTGGGGAGTACAACCTTGTCCTGACAAATATTAGAGATCGGTCGAACTGCAAACGGATCTTAAAGGACAATATCAAGGTCGACGCCCGCCCTAAGCCACCACATGTGTCGTTTGGCCAAATTGACCGAAAGAGAAGCGTCTTGGCTTTGCAAG